TCTGAGAGTGCAAGTCTGAGAATGCAAGTCTGAGAGTGCAAGTGCAAGTCTGCAGCCAGACCCTTCTCGAATTTTGTGCTTTAATTGTGATTAAAAATGTAATTATGTTTTGTTCATGTCACTAAATCTATATTGTATGTTCCTTTTTTTACCTTGGAATATATATTATAATAAAAATTCAAAATAGACCCATATGATATACTGTAATGCTGTGAATTAATAATATTTATAGAATTATTTGTAATATAATATAATATTATATAATATAATAATTAAACCCACAAGCCTTTTCATATAAAGAACAACCGTTGACTATTTTAGTATACTTTATAACTGTGTTTTTATATTTTTTACTCATTTAAAATGAAGGTGAAGATACTTTACAAATAATTATTTATGAGTTCCATGGAAATATATCAGTATACTGTTTGTAACAACATGAGAATGACTAAACAATGAAAGAATGAAGTATTCAGTCTCTGCTGTGTGACTAATGCATAAACTCTTCATCTCTGTTTTGTCAGTATTGGAGATCCTGCAGTTGGTGACGAAAAGAGATTTGTTTTTGGCTGACACTCACATTCTGGAGCTGGAGCAGGAGTGTAGGGAGGCCGAATCCCTGACGGCAGGGGGCACTGAGGATTTCAGCAGCCCCAGCAGCAAAGACAGCAGTCGGCGCAAAGCCAAAGATGTGGAGCTGCTGTACGAGGCCCTGCAGAAAGAGCTGTGGGATGTGGTGAGGGAGTCTCTGCGTAGCCCCACCGCCGGGCCCAACCTGGGCCTGGTGGTGCAGGTGCTTCAGCAGGAGGAGCAAGCCGATCGGGACTGGGCTCAGAGTGAAGGAGCCGCTCCAGGAGGCCCGCGGCCGAGGGAGTTCAAGAAACGCTGGAGGGAGGCGGTGGTCGAGTTGGCAGATGCAAACTTACCCCAGCATGAAGAAGCACGGGCGGGCGAGCTCGCAGCCTATCTGGATAAGCTAAGAGTGCGTATGGTGGAGGACCTCGGAGCGGCTCGGCGTAACGTGGTGTCTGTATATCCTGTGGAATATGACTCCTTCCAAGTGTACACACAGAGCTACCATCAGGCTGTTACCCGTCGTCTGCAGGCTATCACTAATGGGGATCTGCAGATCACTGATATATACTCTTTGCTAGACTGGCTCTACAACATTTACAATAGGTAAACACCAGCAGTTTGATTAGGATCGTTCACTCAAAACAATGTGATTCCAAACCTGTATGAGAACATTTTCCCATTAAAGAAACCAAACAGTGACCACAGGCTGTCAAGTTCCAAAAAGTACTTTACAAGGGGTCCATATTATGAAGTCTTCTGAAGACATATTCAAATATTACGTGTCAGGTTTGACACATTGGTACTGTTTCTTCTGAGTAAAACAGCAAATTTGAATTATGTGTACAAATGAAATTTGAGGGTTAAAGATTTGTGATCGGCAACTCTTAATTTCAGGTTGTTCTTCATATAAACCTACGATATGACTTCAGAAGACTTTAATTTAGCATATTTAATTATATGGATTAATTTTATTGTGTTTTTGTCATGTTTTAAATCTTGATATATGGGAAGAAAACAGAATAAAAAATATCTCAATCTTCTGTTCAGTGTTGAAGTGAAGTTAGAATGACATGAGGTTCTCATGTCTTTGTGATCAGTGGGCTTGTTGTAACAGATTTTTACAGACATTTTTTTTTTTTCGTTTAGAGGAAAAGTTTGGGGTCAATATTATTTTTTTTAAAGAAATTAATACTTTATTCAACAAGGATGCATTACACTGATCAAAAGTGACAGTAAGGACATTTATAATGTTCCAAAATATTTCAAATAAATGTTCTTTTGAAATTTATATTCATCAAAGACTCCTGAAAAAATGTATTACAGCTTTCAAAAAAATATTAAGCAGCTGTTTTCAACACTGATAATAGTAAGAAACGTTTCTTGAGCATCAAATCAGCAGATTAGAATCATTTCTGAATGATCATGTGACACTGAAGGCTGGAATAATGGCAGCTGAAAATTCAGTGTTGCATCAGAGGAATATATTACATTTTAAAATGTATTAAAATAGAAAACAGTTATTTTAAATTGTAATAATATTTCGTAATATTACTGTTTTATTGTGTTTTTGATCAAATGCAGCCTTCGTGAGCATACGAGATTTCTTTTTTTTCTTTTTTCAATCTTACCAACCCCAAAATTTTGAAAGATATAAAAAGTAAATCCGGTGGCAATGTACATTAGCGATGACCTGTTTTGTAGTTTGTATTGTTAAGTATTACTGGCTGTATCCAGATGTCAAGCCACATACAGCAACAGCAAACCTAAAACAGATGTTATAATTAGCTTCTGGTTGATATGAGAGGTGAAAGCCACTCTTGTACCTTCCCATTCCTGTTCCTTCATAATTCAATGTTTCCTTATGAGTGAAGTCCAGACTCAGTTTGTGATTTGCTCTTCCTGTTGTTGCTGCAGAGATGTCCTTGGAACAGTCACCATAACAACACCCATTAACCTCTCGCAGCTCGGCCCACTGCTGCCAGCGGAGACGGTGGAAAAACTCGAGCTTGACTGCCTCAACTCAGTCAGGGTAAGAACCGAAATTCCCAAATTCTAGCATTTTCTGTGTATCTTGAACAACGGCACATTCTGTCCACTCAAAGAGATGGCTGGTCATTGCAACCTGCACGGTCAATTAGAGTGCGGCATTTCAGGGTCAACGCGCGGTTTTCCTGTCTACAATGAGCACTACACAATAGGCGTCAGTTTGACAACATATCTTTCCCCTTCGCTCATTAAGCAACATCAATGTATGATCTTTTAATAATCCTTAAGCCCATCCTGAAAATAGTGACATTAGTCTAATACTTTATGTCATGAATGTGTTAATGGAATGATTGTTTCATTATGGATGCTGTCGTTTCGTACATGCCCAATACAGGCCCCAATATGGCCGCCCCCTCTCACAGCAAGGACGCTTTTAATGAGTGTGTTGAAATGTTGTGTTTTCCAGGGGAAAGTGACCAATGAGCTGTCTCAGGTTTTGGAGGAGGAGGAAAAGAGATGGCTGGACACCCTGAACGTCGAGGAGTATCAGTTACCCCTGGCTCGCACTGTTATTCAGGTCAGCGCAGGGACCATTTATGCTCGTTTATATAAAAGAGGATATTGTGCTTGACATATGGTGTCAGAGCATGTGATATCACATGTTTCTTTAATCCATTTTCTCAGTATTGATTTTGTGTATAATGGCCCACTGTTCCTGGCCGTCTGCGATATTTGCAGCAGGTTTTAGACACTGGGTCTGTTGTTAGAACAAAACGTAAGACATGTCGAATGGCATCCATGCACCTCTGTGTAACAAGAAAATCGTCTCCTAGCTGGAACCAAAATAAACAAACATTTCCCATTGTGAGCATGTTTCCATTACAGCACATTGTTTTTGCAGGCTATGTATTGCGCCCTAGTGGTCATGAATGATAGTAAGGAAATTTGAAAATAGTTCATTTGTTTGGTGAAGTAGCATTGAGCAAGATATTTCAAGACTAAATTGAGGAATTTTGTAACAGATTTCAATTCACTTAGTGTTTACTGGTGTGTAAATAACATATTTCTTATATTTTTGATTATAGAGGCTACAAGAAGACTTTGAGAGATCTGCAGCCGTAAACAGAGATTTGGGTTCACGGGTTGCTCAATGCAGTCTCAACGGACTGGCAGATTTCCTGTACAGGTGGGAAAGTGATACTTGAATTATGACACTACCATACAAATGTTTGGAGTCAGAAATGAATACTTTTATTCAGCAAGGATGCATTGAATTGATCAAAAGTGACACTAAATACTTTGACAGTGTTACAAATTATTTTTTTATTTGTATTCATCAAAGAAAAAATATTACGGTTTCCACAAAATGTTAGCATTTAGTTGCAAATATTTAGCAGCACTGCTGTTTTCAACATTGATAATATTAGAAAAAGTTTCTTAAGGAGCAAATCAGCATATTAGAAGGATTTCTGAAGGATCATGTGACAATGAAGACTGGAGTAATGATGCTGAAAATTCAGCTTTGCCATCACAGGAATAAATAACATTTAAAATGCATTCTAATAGATTTTAATTTATAATCACTTGTGAAAAATAAATATACATCTATTTCAAGTATTTTACAAATAAATTTACATATTTATGTACTTAATAAAAATACCCTGCAGTTGTACTTTTGGTATATTAAACTAGTATACTTAAAGTCTGCTAAATTGGAACAACTAATTTTGCACTTTAATTGTGCAGAAGTTGTGCTGAAGTCATTCACTCCCCCCACCTACAATCCCTGCCGGTACGAGACTCGAACCCACAACCTTTGGGTTATGAGTCCGACTCTCTAACCATTAGGCCACGACTTCCCCGTATAATAAATAAAGTTTATTTATAAAATTATCAGTAAGTCTCAAGTAAATATGTAAGTAAGTAAATATGTTAATAGATTTCAACTATACTTAGTATGAAATAAATGTATTTTAAATATATTCCTTTTTTTACTAAGGATAATAGTTCACAATCATACTGTTTTACTATATATTGGGCTTTATATGGGGTTCCAAGTTTGGAGCCCAATGAATGACTAACCCTTTTTAATGTCCTAAATGCTTAAAAATTGTTTATTTGTTAGATAAATACATTTTCATTCTTCAGTTAGATAATTCCCATAGAAATGTGTCACACTAACTAAATGCATTGTTTTTGCTGCAGTTTTCAGAGAAAGGTGGAGATGTTCCATGAGATGCTCGTAAACAGCTGTGAGGTAAATGAAGACGGTTACATCGCTAAAACCATCGCTCTTGTCAACTGCTGTCCAACGTTCAGGTAGGCTTCCTCAAAATCCTTTATTTCTATGATGTTTTTTAATTATTTTAGTGTTTTCATTATATAAACTGCTGTGTTTAGGAGCTTTGTGGAGCGTTGTGGCCAGTGTGACCCCTCAACCAGCGAGTACTCGAATCGTAGAGCCAACACAGCTCTGGACAGAATAGTCAGCTTGAGTGTGCGAGTGCTAAACGACAGACTTTTTGAACATATCAGGGTGAGGCTGCCACAGATCACCCCACACTTCCTCACATAGACATGCACGCACACACAGATTTCTCAATACCTTATGTTCGTCTCTGTCCAAGAATATAAAGAATATCTTTTCAGCATTTCCCCTATGGGCTGTTCTCAAGGATGTTGTTTTGCACAGCTACTCTGGCTCTGAGACACTAAAATAGCAGCACTATGTGAAAAACACTAGTGAATTAGATGTTTTTGGCCTGACGCCGAACAGTATTCAGTGTTTGCTGTACAGATTGACATTACCAGCTCTCATGGGCCACATAGTTTCGCTGCATCCTTTTTTACCAAGATGGGGCTCGAACAGGAAGTTAGCCGCACTCTCTTGACTCTAAATATGAAAGCCCTCACATCCTGGTGAAGGCAAATATAGTACATTCCAGTGTGTACTGTGTATGTCATTTCTAATCAAGAGCGTTCTGTCTCATTTCACGTAGCCCTTATTTGATAAGCTGATTAAACGGAAATGGCTGAGCAACACTGAGCCTTTTGAGCAAATCGAGGCGCTCATAAAAGAGCACTTCAAGAAGTTTCGCAGGATGGACAATCCACCTTATGAGGTAAACTAAGATGTCAATAACATTAATTTCCTCCCTCAATCTGCAATCTGCAAATTTATCATCAATTATTCTTAAAAACATGTGTTTTTACTGCTTTGTCAAGTACGCTTTGATTCTTTAATTCTTGTATCTACACAGCCCTTGTATTGTATTGGTTCATCGCAAATAGTTTTGTACAATTACTGCTAAAATCTATCTAGCTCTCTCAACCTTTTTTTTTACATAAAACAATTTCAGCTCAAATCAATTGTATGTCTAATTGTCGATTTAGCCATGGATAATGTACCATTATATAATGTCAGCCAGTCATTATCCCAAAATAAACCACTTCAGGGTGAAATAAGATTGATCTGTTTCATGTACGATCATGTTGGGTTTTTGTGAGATAAGCCTCTTATTTACTGTGTTCTCTTAGGTCCTGGTGATGGAGGTGCACCGGCGTGTGATGACTGAATATGTGCGGGCCATCATGAGGGGCAGAATCATCTGCACATCACTCAAAATGAGGAAGAGAATGGCTGGACGCCTTCGTGATGAAGGAAAGCACCTAAAAACCCTCTTCAAAGAGCTGGTGAGTCACTTATCTGAAAGATCAAAGTAAAAGTTTTTCATTTCTCCTGCTAACCTTGGGTGCGTTTTCCAAAAGCATCGATAGCATTGATAACTCTATTGGTTACGACGGAACTTGTGGCAATAGTTGCTTTTTGTGAAACGCACATCTGTTCTGTTAAAAAAAGTCAGTTTTTATATTTATATTAATATTTCAGATGTAGCTTTTATTTTTATATTTTCAGATTTTGTTTTAATTTTAGTTTAGTTTTTAGTAGTTTTGTGATGTGCTTTTGTCATTTTTTTATTACTTTTTAGGTTTAATATATTTTTATTTCAGTTTTAGCTTTAGATTTGAACTAATTTCCAGTTAATAATTTTAGTTTTTTAACAAACCTATTTAAGTTAGTTTCTAGTTAGTTCTGATTTTTGTTTAGTTTTAGTTAACAATAATAACCCTGCTGTCAGCAAGATATATGATATTAGTTATGACATAATTATAAAATATGGTAGTACTGGTCAATTTCAAATATTTCAGTATGATCAGCAGAGTATGAAAACTTTTTGGAATGTTTTTTTTTTCCTTGCAGTTATTCCTAAATATCCAGTAATGTCAACATTTTCCATGTTACAGTAACATACGAGGTTGTCAACTTGTATCATGTTTATGGGACTAAATGGGAAACAGAAAACCACAATTACAATTCTAAGATTTTTTTTTTTTTACTGTTTTCTGAATCATTTTAGGTAACACTTTATTTTATGGTGTCCTTGTTACACATTATATGTATTTACTATAATAATAACAATAAATTATGCATGCTAACCCTAATCCTATCTAAATTACTTTTTTCAAATAAGTAACGCAAGTTACTTTGTTTTCCCATTTATTCACTGACACCTCGCCTGTCCCTGTGTTGTGAGAAATTGGGAGTGAGGTGCAGAGGCAGAGGTTCTTCCTTCAGTCTGAGGCTTATTAATTTCACTTTTGATGTGAAAAAGTGTGTGCAGTTGCCAAAAATAAAACTTTTGGGACTTATGTTATTAAAAAAATTAGCAAGCCCAGACCGGGTGACAAAAAGTAATGCAAATAAAAAGTAACTCAATAAGTTCGTTTTTCATAGAGTACCGCAATATTGTAATGCATCATTGCTTTTAAAAGTAACTTTCCCCAACACTGGTAACAAAGACACCATAAAATAAAGCGTAACCTCATTTTATTTTTATTAGTATGGCATTTTTCTTATTAAATCTTTATTCCCAGATTCATCACACTTGCCAAAATGTCACGTCCTGTTTTGAGCTAGATTCTAAATACTGTGTTTTAATCACTCAAAAACCATCTCTAGCCCACAACTTTTCAAACAAAAGAGATTCTGAAGAATGGGCTCTTCTGGAGTGGGCATGGAGGCAGATGGCTCCAAAGGGCATCTCTATGACCCACCCAAACGCTCCTTTCTCCTGTGCAGCGTCCGCACCTTGCTTCAGTTAAAACATCCGTTTGTCACCTCGGTGGACAACAGGATGCCATTGTTTCTGGAAGAATGTCCTGGCCTGGGCCTTTGAAGTCTGACTTGCCTTTAAGGTCAAACTGAGAGTCAGGAAGAACTGCCTTGGTGTAATGGGCATACAGATATTTACCCTCAATTGGAACAACATGTGCTCCTATACTTAATCCTCTAGGTTTTTGTTTTTCCAGAGACGAGGGTAAAAATAGCCTTCGGAGTCGTTTGGACGCTGTGATCTTTGGCTGTCTGTCAGAAGTCATTGTATAATGTACTTTTGGAAAGCGTCTTTAGTGCCAGGCAGTCGTGTTTAATCTGAACGTTCATCTGTACATTCCAGTTGCTGATCAGTCTCGGCGTTTGAAGATTGATCTGGTGACTGATATGATGTTTGATGCTGATCTTTGTTTGCCCCCATCCAGGAATCCTCCGCCTCATGGCTCGACAGCGCTATTCCTCACTTATCAGAGATCATTGTCTTGGAAGACACTCCCTCCATTCAAATGGAAGTTGGCGTCCTGGTACGGGAATTCCCTGACATACGGTGAGTGTCTTGAGGGGCGGCGTGCCGCTCGGCTGGGACACCTTGTAGCCCCTGATATGATCGAGGACGCAAAGCAGAGAGCTCAGGTCATCTGACAAAGCATGGTCATTCTGTTTGACAGCAAACGAGGGGCTTGTAAAAGCAAACTAGACCTTTGCGGTTTCCTGATTTTTATGGGAGGTTATCCCAGATTCGCATGAAAGGTGTACAGTTGTCCAGCTCTGGATCCTCGCAAAGACAAAGCAAAAACACAGGCATCCTGCCAGGGCCTGACCTAAAGCTCCATGATTTAACCTAGAGAGGGCAGTTGCCTAATCAAGAACCCTGTACGGCTGCAGAATCCAGAGGAAACTCTCTTTTGTGGAATGTGTGCTAAATAAAGCTTGAACCTTCAAATACATGACCTAGATGTGCTGCGGGCTCTATTGTTTAGCATTAGCAACACCTTTGGGTTTTAAACTGATGAACGCTTGGAATCTCTCCCATCTACCACATTTTATGATCTAGGGAAACTTTGAATGAACAGGAGCCAACTCTGGGAAGGTTAAATTAGGATTCTTTGCACCCTGTTGATTCAACTGTACGTATATACAGCTATACATTATACATTACATATACAGTACATTATAGAATATTATAAAGAACTTAAAGTTTTTTTTGTGTCTTCCAATGCGAAACATTTACATTGTATTAATATTCTATCCTTTTTTGCTTTTACTTTTACTTTAGTTTAGTTTAGTTTAGTTTTTGTTTTGGGAAAAGAAATGAGGGGGAAAAGTTTGGGGTTGGTAAAAAAAAAATTGAGAACACTTTATTTGAAGGTGTCCTTGTTACACGTTACATGTGCTTACTATTGTAATAACAATAAATTATACATTATTACATGCAAGTAACCCTAATCCTAACCCTAACCATGTAGCAAGTACATGTAGTTAATTAATATTACTCAGTGCTTAAATGTATAATTACACTGTAACAAGGACACCTTCAAATAAAGTGTAACCTTTTTTAATGTTCTTGAAATAAGTCTCTTATGCTTACCAAGGCTGCATTTATTTGATCACAGTAAAAACAGTAATATTATGAAATATTATTGCAATTTACAATTATTTACAAATAAATGTAAAAATAAAAATTTATAAAAATGTATCACTTTCCTGTCCTCTTACTTACTGAATAATTTACTTTTGCATTAGATTGTAAATCTTAATTTGTAAACCTTTTTTAATCCTTTCTCTCTTTTTAAAATTCAATTTACAGTTTGCCAAATCTATAGAATAAACTTCAAATACAAGCCCAAGTCTTTTTGTATTTGAAGAATTTTTCAGTTTAGAAGAATATTCTATTTTGCAAGTTATGAAAACAAAAAATTGTTTTCTGAAAAAAAAAATGTGGCTTGTACTTTAAGACAAACAAAGCATGTAAAGAGAAATTCACTTAATGAAGGTCTATTCCAGTATAGTTTCAGCACTGACCACTTACCATGCAACCATATTACGGTTTAACTAATGCAATAGATGCAATATTTCACTTATTTGGCCACTTATTGTGACACTGTACAGTTATTGTTAATATGACAATATGCCTCATATATGAGTCAAGAGTGAATAAATCTTTCTTGTGTTTCAGGAGGAAGCATGTTTCTGCCATACTCAATATCCGTGGGATGACCCGACAAACAGAAAGGCAGGAGATCTTGAATATTGTGAAAGACATCGAGAACAGCGACAGCGTCATGCGGGTGTCCCGGGACAGGGCTCTCTTTGCTGAGGTGCCGGTGACGTCAGAAGTACACTGTCTAAATGTAGGCCTGAGCCGCGTGGCCCTCACCGCCTCGTCCCTCTTCTCCAGCATGCGGTTCCGGCGCAGAAGGACTCCAACCAGGGAAAACCAGGATGACATGCTGTAATCCATCTCAAATGGATGCTCGAGTCACCCAGCACTCATAGAGCACCGGAGCCCAGCAGCACAGCATTTGTTTCTAAAGTGTTTGCATGTGCCATTGTCACATCGTAAGGACAAGTAAGGACATCTTACAGATGCTCAGGATTGCAGGTTCTCTGAGAAAACTGAAAAAAAATGACACTACAGTTGGTATCACTACAACTGTTTTTGCACAACTAACATTGCAAAGGCTTGTGTGAAATACAGTGGCACCAAAAATATTTTGGCACTTTTAAAAATGTATGAATGTCTTTAGATTATATAACAAAATATCAAACCAAGTGGCATTTCTTATATAATTTTTTTTTAAAAACACACTTTTCAAGAAAAATATTTTAGAAATGAAGTTTGTAAGGTTTTAAATGATCAATGACATTTTGTAGTTGTAAAATCTTAGTGGAACATGTTCATATACTGTATATCAGAACAAACTGTCTCAGGACCAGTTGGGTAAGAGTCATAGCAAAAATGTCAAAAAGAGTCCTGTGAAAAGGTCTAGCCTCATTTCATTCCTAATACAATGAATCTCATACATTCTGTGTATCTAAAAATGTCCAAATAATCTTTGGGGCCACAATATGTTTTTTTTTTTTCTCTAATTGATGTAGTTATTGTCTGAATATATAGTGCAAACATCTCTAAGAAATGTCTCTTAGGATCTTAAATTGCAGGGGTCCGAGTGCGTATTGTAAAAAATATATAACTACTGATCAAAACACTGCTTGGTTTTGGGAATTATTCGTTTTTTGTGTTTTTTTTTAAATCGTACCATTTAGCATTTTGACTTTTGTGACAGTAATTAATAGTTATGAAATTGTGTTGTTGTTTTTTTTTATAGTTGCACATGACTGAAGACTGACTTTAAGGTACTATGCAATTGCAGTTATCTTTAATCTTTCAATTATTTTTATCATATTTAAATGGATGATTTTGTGGTCCAGTCATCTATTATCTTGTCATGAAAGATAAATGTATTTTGTTTGAGATCACTCAGATTTACCTGTGGAAGAAATCAAGAGGGACTATTTATGTATTGCAAGACTTATTTATTGCACCAGTAATTTCATTCATCAGTAATAAATACTGAAAAAACAACAACAATGGAAACCAATCCAAGCATAAATGACTACAACCAACAACAACAACAAAATAAAAATAGAGTAAATTCATGAATAATTGTATCACTTTCGAGACACTGCTCAACGTACAGCCATAGAAGCTTTTAGTGTGTTTACCTTTAATACTGATGGACAGAACTTTTCAAACAACATTTATGGATTCTGCATTTACTGTGCCACAGAGAGTGTCTTCGAAAAATATAATTTTTCATCCAACTTGTCTTTTCAGCATATTTGATAAGTTTGTATATGTTGCTGTGTGAGCACCATGGAAAGGAAATCAAAGAACAATTCAGTAAACTTTAGGGTACTCTGCATGTTGCTACATATGAAAAGCTTAAGACTTTGACATAAACTAATATTTTGGTTATAGGAAGAAAAATATTTTACAGTGTACATATATTAAATCACATGAATAAATGACAGAGGATCAGATATTTGTGTGTGTGTGTGTGTGTGTGTGTTCATGAGATAAATGACAGGATCAGATATTTCTGTGTGTGTTTGTGTGTGTTCATGAGATAAATGACAGAGGATCAGATATTTCTGTGTGTGTGTGTTCATGAGATAAATGACAGGGGATCAGATATTTCTGTGTGTGTGTGTGTGTGTTCATGAGATAAATGACAGAGGATCAGATATTTCTGTGTGTGTGTGT